CAACGAGGGATCGCTGGAAGACATGGGGGTCTTCGAGGATTTCGAGATCTCCTGATGCACATCCGGGAAGAAAGGCATTGGAGTGGATGCCGACAGGAGTCAGCGGCCACACCCAAAACCAATCGCCCAGCAGCGAGTGCTCGGACAGGGTGAAAGGTTCCACTCTAGTCCGATGCTCGCAGCGGCCCGGGAAAGCATGGCCGTCATCTCAGGATCTGACTCGACAAATACCATATGCACACCCGAAAGTGGCAGCACTGTCGAATCTTCACTTCCTGAAGATTCTAGCCCGCCCTGTGATGCTGCGATGGACAAGAGATCCGCTTCTGGAGCGTCAAGGGAAACCCGCGGGGCATCCGAAAATAGACCCGGGGAATCCCCTGAACACTCGCGGGTTGCGTCACCGAAGAGGGGGGCGTGGTCCACGGACAAACAGTCGGCGGATTTGTTCCACACTCACACCCTCAGGTCACCCTGGCCACCAGCCGAAGTAGCACCTCACGTGGAGAGTGTTAGATCGGGGTGTGGATGAGGGGACTCTCTCTCTAACGAGATCATTGAGTCTCGACCGTAATGACGCGATGGTCACGTTCCCGCAGGGAGAACGTGAGTCATCCACAAACGCTGCTCTAGCGTGATCAAGCCCAAGCATGCAGAGCAGAGAATGTGCCCATCAAAATCGGAAATGAGTCGACCGCAACCAGAAATGCACGGGCGAGCCGTCTTTAAAAAGACGTGCCGCGTGCAAGCTCTTTTGTGAGAGGAGAAAAAAACTCTGCGATGTTAAAACGAGCAGGGAGAAACACACTCATTGGCAGATCACTGCACAGATCAGCAGGCAATGTGAACTCGCTGCAGATCGCCGTCACACCAACACCGGAGAGAGTGGCTCGTCTCGTAGAGTGAAGTCAGAAATGGCTGTGGAGTGAAGAGATGCTCTTGGCTCCGAAGCGAAAACATGTCTGCATTCTGCCGGGCTTCCTCCTTTTATACCCACGAGGTGGGGTGGAGTTGCGCCATGCAAATTCCGCAGACCCACGGCATTTCTTTGCCATTGGCTCGTTTTGTAGTACTCGAAGTCGATAGGCTTCCTAAGTGAAACCCCATTCGTCGTCATCCGACGGAACTCGGAGTGACAACGAAAGGGAACTGCTGTTCCTGGTGTCTTGTGCAGTTGCTGCAGGACACAGTCAGTTATTCGAGCTGCGGCCCTCGCAGCATTGCCATCCGGGGAAACATATACCGCACACTAGTGTTGTCACGATACTAGAATTTCTAACTTCGATACGATACCTTGAAAAATATCGATATTCGATACCATTTTCGATACCACGGAGAAAAAACTGCCACAATATTAAGGGGGTATTTTTTTTAATTTAAAGCTAAATATAACAAGTCTAGAACATGACAATGAGGTATATTTTACATGAACAAAAATGTCCTGAGTTCTATTTGTTTATATTTTTTAATTGGACCAGAGCTAACATGATGTATTTTAATTACCTACTGTTATCAAAGATTAAAATATACTGTAACAAAAAAGCACTTAACAGTATCAAATTGGAGGATAGAGAGTCAGTAATGTATAATAATAAGATTAAACATTCAATTTTCAGTTAAAGGCATGTCATTATTGAATTCAGAGATGCCATTGCCTAGCTGTTTAGTTTAATTAATATCTGTGTTATCAAATTGATGATGATCGCTAATGAAGGAAAATTGCAGAATTAAATAATTTTTGAATAAAGTTAAATAGGCACCAGTTAATTTACATTTGACCACAGTTACAATATTTACTTGTCTAAGATTCCTCAGTCAGATTATGTTAACATTAGACTCTTATCAACAACAATACATAAACCATCTTGGTTAATGTTTCAGAAAAGTTCAAATGAGAAGAGTTACAGTGTTTCCTTGAGGATTTTTTTTAGCAGTGGGGGCAGGTCTGTCCAAACAACAAACACCCCTGATGCTGAGCATATGCTGCTAAATAGTAGCCCTGGATGTTCCTTAAGTCTGTTTTCACCTATACAATAATAAAAAAAAAAAAGAGTGATGTGAGGGATTATTGATAGTCAAACAATCTGTTGGGTGCCCGCAGCCCGCTCGCGTGTCCGCGCTATTCTCCGACATGCCCGCTCGCGGTGTGTTTTTTTTACGCGTGTCCACGCTATTCTCCGACATGCCTGCTCGCGGTGTGTAGCGCGTGTCCACGCTATTCTCCGACTCCGACATGCCCGCTCGCGGTGTGTTTTTTACGCGTGTCCACGCTATTCTCCGACTCCGACATGCCCGCTCGCGGTGTGTTTTTTACGCGTGTCCGCGCTATTCTCCGACATGCCCGCTCGCGTTGTTCTTTATCAATCAACCAAAGCCGGTCGCGGGGGCGCCGCCCTCGCCATCTTTCCATTCACTTCACTTTTGCTATTTAACCAGAGCGAATGAGACGAGTGCGTCACGTGTGGTGTTTGTCAACGCGTCTTTGGAGAGAAGTGAAAGTGACTGCTCGGCTAGTATCGATACTTCGGGAAATTAGTATTGGTACCGTTCAGATATTTCAGTATCGATATTTATCGAAATATCGATATTTTTGACAACACTACCGCACACATGACAATATTCCCAAACTCCCTTGGCAAATAAAACAGAGTAGCTCCAAATCGGGGTTACATACCGCCTCCCGTGCAGTATACTGCTTACACCAGTAGTCTCTGATGTAAATGCCAATGCCTCCCCCTCTGCTCTTTTCAGCCGCCTCTTTTCTGTCCAAACGAACCAGGGAGCGTCCTTCCAATTCCACTAATGAATCGGGAATGTTTTGATGTAACCATGTCTCTGTGAACACCATGAGGCTTGATTCGCGGTATTCATAACACGCTCTGTTGTTAATACGAAGCTCCTCCATTTTTCCTCTCAGTGACCGTACATTTCCAAAAACAACCGAAGGAAGCGGTGATCTATTTCCTCTCCTCCATATGTGTTGTCGTACACCACCGCTCTTCCCCCTCTTCCGTAAGCATTTCGACTGAAACAGATGAAATTTCCGTGCCTCGGAAAAATCCACAGTTGTTGGAATGTCTCTTGCTCGAATCGACAACAAGTGTGTCTCTGGTGTAGGTAATCGGTGGCAAACACCCATCCTCCCCGCTTCTCCGCATTGCAAAGCCTCGATACACAAGTTTCCAAACAAACAGCATTAGCAGAATAGTTCTCATACAGGTCCCCATGGTATAATGCGACCGTCTTCCAAGTAAAAAAAATAAAATAAATAAATAAAAACAAATCTTAAGCAAGTTAAACAATTTTTACAAATTAAAAAAATTCCACCACGCAATCAATGTAACCAACACCTGGGTCCGGGTCGCCAGCAGAGCAGCGCCACCGGAAGTATTCAGTTCAGTTTTCATATAATGGTGTCAATGCAGGCAGATCAATGTTATTGTTGAAAATTAAATTAAATATTAAATTTGATGTCGTCAACTAAGCAACCCAAAAGCCAATGGCAACAAAGGTGAAAAAAGGCGAAAAAGGCGACAGTGGCAAGGAACCAAAACTCCATTAGGTGGCAGAATGGAGAAAAAACCTTGGGAGAACCCAGGCTCAGTCGGGGGCCAGTTCTCCTCTGGCCAATGAACGAACAGTGTATGATTATGATTCAAGAAGCATTATAGGTCAGAAGTCAGATTGGATTGGAACAATCAGAATATTATCCAGTTCCATCTGGTTGAAGATTGGAGTCATCACGCTGGTATGGAGACGGGTTTTTTGAGGATCAGTGCCGATGGCTGTCGTGTCGATGAGTCCTTACAGGGGAGAGTCTAGTTGACACAATCTCTGCTGACACTTCAGGGATGTGTTGTGGTCGTGTCTCGGTGAAGGTCCTCCATCTGATCTGGATATGGCCCGGATCCGGCTGACTACATCGTGCGTTGTGGTCGTGCACTGAATATTTCCCTGAAGGTCTACTTTGAAAACTTCAGAGTGTGTGTGGCCTTGGCAAAAACAAGCAGAGAGGATATACAGCCACTGTACATATGAAACAAAGTCGAGCGGATCTAAAACCCAGGGCTAGGCCAATAGACTGCAATAATAAGAACATGTTGGAGACACTATACACTTAAAAACAAAAACTAAACTAAAAAAACTGTATTTTCCATCTCACCCAGTAAACTGAATTATATTTGGTACTCTTGCATTTCATCTTGTTTCTTTTTTTTTTCTTTCTTTTTTTTTACCATGGACTTAAGTTTTTAAGAAATTCACTTGGGTAATCTCACTCAGTTAGAAATCCATCTGCCCTAGTCGTTGGATAATCAACAGAGGTTCTGCAGTAGCAGCCCTGGTTTCTCATTTGTATTAAACCGTGCAACAAAATAAAATAAGCACAGAAAAACATTGGGATAAAAAACATACTTGTTCAGTGAAAAGTAAGTAATTAATTAATTAAAGTAATTAAGTTTACAATCAATTCTGGGGTGAATCTGAGATGTGTTTTTTTTTAAATGGGGGCATACATTAAAATGATTTGTAAAGTGTGCCAAAGCGAAATGTAGCAAACGCTGCATAATATACATATTCATGTATGCAAACCCCATTAGCTGCAGCTCTCAATCCAAGAGCTTTCACAAGCCTTAAGGTGATGATACACAGGGCAACTTTTTGAGCAATGTTGCTGGGCAATCTTGCCGAGTGATTGTTGCTTGGGCACTTTCCCATTGAAAATGGGCAATACATTTCTATCTGGATGATTTAGATCGGTCGTGGGCCCTGTGTCTCATCTGGTTGCCCGTTGACGGCAACATTGCCCAGGAACATTGCTCAAAATGTTGCCCTGTGTATCATCACCTTTAGTGTTTGAATCTGATGAAATTAGGAGGGGTAGGTGCACTGAGCAGGAATGCTTGTAAGAAAAAATCTGATGCACAGCAACATAATCATAAAATACACAACCCCCCAAACATGATTACATATTAATTTATATCCTTCTCTTGTCTACACAGGAATGTCCGTCAGCATCTCCACCTTCAGTCTAGTGGCCATTGCTACTGAAAGATACAGTGCCATTTGCAACCCGCTGAAGTCAAGGGCATGGCAGACCCGTTCTCATGCCTACAAGGTCATCGCTGCCACATGGGTACTATCTGTGGGTATTATGGTGCCCTATCCTGTGTTCAGTAGACTGATGACAATCAACAAGCCGAACAACATCACGGCTCACATGTGCAGGCTTGACTGGCCCAACAGTCAAGTGGAACAGACTTGGTTAGTCTTTTGACACCATTACTTTTATCTTAACTATGATGCAATAACATGAAGGCTTAAAGGTTATCATTTTAATTTGAACTTTACATTTTATACACACTTACACTCAGGGCATCACATTAGTAAGCTTTCATGTGAAAATAATTTAAGGATTATAGTATACTGTTTTTTCTCATTAAAATGAATACCACTTTTGACAAATATGATTAAAAAAAATGCTAATTAGTTGGTTTTATTGTACATAAATATAAAAAAAAGAAATAATTAATTTCTACAAATTTACCGTCAACACAGACACGACCCCAACTCAGAAACTCGGGGCTCAAAGAAAATACCAGTCATAATTATGACTTTGTGGTGGTTCATCATGTGTGTTCAAATTTTCTGACATGACTTCAATGGACTATAGCTCTACAAGAGAAGGATTGCCTTTTCCACTCATTGGGGCTAAAAAAATCATCACAAAATCAGCCATGTCTCAAAAACTTTACAGTTACTACTACTACAACAGCAACAACTACCATTACCAAATACCATTAATAAAAAAATAAAATAAAAAAAAACTAATCTACAATCTCTTCAGTCATTACTAGGGAGTTACTACGCTTTGTTTGTATTACTATGCTTTTCACTTTAGAATACTGATCCAAATAATTAGTGATTCCTTCTGAAGTATTTGGTAATACTTGAGTCATTACTAGTGGGTTACCATTACCTAACAATTAATTATAGATTATGCATTATTCATATTAATTATGAACCTGTATATAGTAGTTCCCTTTCAAGGGAACTCACGTTGCGTCGATTGGCGCTAAGGGAACGCTTTGCGTGTTGATGTATTGAAGCACATGTAAAATCAGTCCAATGGTGTGACGGGACGTCAGAGGCGGGTGACGTCATGAACCAGGAAACTATATAAGTCGGTTCAAACCCAGCCGCAACAGCTTCTGTGTCTTCACAAGGGCTCTATGTGAAATTGTCCTTGTTATTTGGTGTTGTCTGTATATATATATATATATATTTATATATATATATATTTATAGACTATGGCGAGCAAGCAGCAGTTTAGAGTGTGTGTGCACCCCTGCCCGCATTATTTAACGGGTGGGGACACACACACTTTATGTGTTGTTTGTTTGTGAGAGGAGCATGCATGGTCAGCGCTCGAGGGCGCTGACTGTGAGCACTGTATTTTGCTTCCCTTGCGGACACTCCGATCCCGCCTGGCGTTTTTTAACGAGGATGCCCAGGCTTGCGTTCCCCAAGGCTGAGGTCCCTCTGCTGCCGAGGCACAGCGAAGACTTCAGACTTTGGGTTCGCAAATGGATCTGTCAGCGGGGTTAGAGACGGGCTCTGCCTTATCTCTGACTTCACCTGACAGATCTAATGCCTCGTATCAGGGTTCGGAAGCACGCGCTGCGGTTTCTTCCATCCTGATACAGGCATCAACACTGCAGCTATCCAGTTCCGAGGGACTGGATGTTGTTAGTGTTTATGCTCGTGATACTGAGGATTCGCCACGTCAGTCTCATGCTTTTGACGAGCTCGTTGAGGTTGTAACGAGAGCGGTCGAAAGATTACATATCGATTGGCCGGCAGATAAACAGGACGTTGGTTTAAAAAGCAAACTAGATGAACGCTTCCTGCCCTCTCGTTCACAATCTCAACGCCTGAGCCTTCCGTTTTTTCCCGATCTCCACACTGAGGTGTCGAGATCGTGGAAGAAGCCTGTGTCATATAGAATATACAGTGCACAATTATTACACTACTCTTCTATTTCACAATATAAAGAGCACAGATATGGGGAAATGCCGAAGGGGGAAGAGACGCTCGCGAGCTATCTCTCCCCTGAATCTGCATCTTCCCATAAAGCCACATTATTACCCACCAAGCCAGTTAGAGTAACTTCAGCTTTGGTGGGTAAGGCTTATTCAGCGGCTGGTCAGGCTGCAGCATGTCTTCACACAATGTCACTGCTGCAGGTTTACCAGGCTGAAATGTTAGGAGACATTGATGAGGGCGGGGCTATTGGCCCGAACGCAGTTTGCGAACTGCGTCGAGCCACAGATTAGTCTCTCAGGGTCGCCAAGGAGACGGCTATTTCTATCGGCCGGTCTATGGCAGCCCTGATGGCCACTGAGAGACATTTCTGGCTCAATTTTGAGCAATATTAAAGAAAAGGAGTAAATGTTTTTTATGGATTTTCCTATCTCTTTATCTCCCTCTTCGGCGACACAGTAACACGGTCGTCGAGAGGGTTCAGGAATCAGCCATACAAGCGGCTGCCTTCCAAAAACTTTTCCCTCGCCAGACTCATGTCTCCGGGGTTGCTGAGCGGGAGCAGCCCAAAACTTTAAAAACCAGCTCCTCACACCGTGCCACAAAAAAACCCTAAAAAAACCAGAGCGTGGCTTCCCGTGTTCCCCCACAAAAAGACTGGGGACACGGAAAGCACGCTCAACAGCAGCCTTCAAGGGATAAGACGGATCTGAGGACCGTCATTATTTCCAAGAAAGCTGCAAAGAAAAGGACTGACGTCCGAGGGCGGAGGCCATCGAGGGCAGTTCCCCACTGAAGCAGAGTGGTTAACACCTCATTTTACGGTGCCCGTCTCCCTTCGGTGCCCTCGGGGGACCGTTATGCTAACCCTGCCACCTTGTTTGTTACAGGGCGCAGCGGTCTCCAGCGAGCATATATCTCAGGTGCCACCCGGAAACGTAGTGGCCCTGGGATGCCCGCTCCCTCCGAGGAGGGTCCTAGAGCAGTCAGTTCAGTCGTTCCCTGCCTGTTCGCCGTTACAGGGCTACGGGCTGATTGCTCAACAAAGACTAAATGCAGAAGTCAAGTCAAGTCAAGTCATCTTCATTTAGATAGCGCTTTTAACAATGTAGATTGTTTCAAAGCAGCTTTACAGAGATAAACATACAATTTACGGTAACAGAGATTGTTTTGGCTTTATAGCGATTTTTGAATAATGCTATTTCCAGCTAAAGTTAGTTTTGATTGATTCTCTTCCAGCAAAATTATCATTTGTTATCAAATTAGGGGCCACTAAGACGACGGCGTTCTCTCTAAACAGACTTTAAACGCGAACCTGTGACCGGATGGCGTTCACATGCGCGTTAAGAATTGATTCTATAGTTATATTCGTTTGAATATATGTGCGCAGGTTTGTAATTTCCCTACAAACCATGCCCAAACAAACTACTTGTCTTGCCTATACATTAGATAAAGAATTTTGTTTTATTTTATCACTTCGGGGTACGCAAACCGGATTTTCAACAACTCTTTATCTGTAGAGTGGGAAAGGGATCCTCCATAGGGAGAGGATAGTTGACACTTCACCACTGCATTGTCATCAGGTCCAGGCAAATCTCCTTCGTCAGATCTGGATACGGCCTGGATCCGGCAGGCTGCGGGAAAACCTCGGGATAAACAAAGACACTAAAGTTAGCGTAGATGCCATTCTTCTTATGATGTAACGAGTACATCAGGATTTAAGGGAAGTGTTCCCAGTTCCGTCTGACCTAATCTATGCAGCCTAACATTGAATTATAGAAGTCTATAGTGTGTTATGTGTATGCTAGGTCAAAGAGATGTGTTTTTAGTCTAGCTTTGAACTGACAGAGTGTGTCTGCTTCCCGGACAATGGTAGGAAGACTGTTCCAAAGTTTTGGTGCTAAATAGGAAAAGGATCTACCGCCAGCAGTCGATTTTGATATTCTAGGTATTATCAACTGGCCGGAATTTTGAGATCGCAATAGACGTGAAGGACTATAATGCTTTAAAAGCTTGCTCAAGTACTGCGGAGCTAAACCATTTAGTGCTTTGTAAGTAATCAACAATATTTTAAAATGTATATGATGTTTAATAGGGAGCCAATGCAGTGTTGACAGAACCGGGCTAATATGGTCATATTTCCTGGTTCTGGTAAGAACTTGAGCTGCTGTGTTTTGAACTAGCTGTAGTTTGTTTATTAAGCGTGCAGGGCAACCACCCAGTAGAGCATTACAATAATCTAGTCTTGATGTCATGAACGCATGAACTAATTGTTCTGCATTTGTTAATGAGAGCATATGGCGTAATTTAGATATATTTTTAAGATGGAAAAATGCAGTTTTACAGATACTAGACACGTGACTTTAAAATGAAAGATTGGTATCAAAGAGCACACCCAGGTTCCTAACCGACGACGTAGACTTGACAGAGCAGCCATCAAGTGTTAGACAGTATTCTAGGTTATTACATGTGGAAGTTTTTTGTCCAATAATTCGAATCTCTGTTTTTTTTTCAGAATTTAGTAGGAGATTACTAGTCATCCAATTTTTTATATCAGCTATGCATTCCGTTAATTTTGTGAATTGGTAAGTTTCATTAGGTTTTGAAGAAATATACAGCTGAGTATCATCGGCACAACAGTGAAAACTAATTCCATGTTTCCTAATGATTTCTCCCAATGGTAGCATGTACAGAGCGAACAGCAACGGTCCCAGCACTGAGCCTCGTGGCACGCCATACTGAACTCGTGATCGACAGCCTCGAGAGGCTGGTACCTCCAGTAGAATTCTTGGCAGCGCGGAAGCTACTGCCAAATATTTCTCGTTGGGTCCTGCAGACCAAAGGGGGCTTTCATCCCACCGTGGTGAGCCAGCAGGGACACCGGGTTTTACAGCCGGTATTTCATCGTTCCAGAGAAGGATGGGGGGTTGCGTCCCATTTTGATTTTAATAGTTCTGTACGTTTCCGTCATGTGACTAAAGTTCAAAATGTTGAGACAAATCGTGTCACAGATCAGATCCGAGGACTGGTCTGTCACGAAAGATCTCAAGGACGCATACTTCCACTTTTCCATCCTTCCATATCACGGGAAGTTCCTGAGGTTTACTTTGGGGGGCAAAGCATACGAATATCGAGTCCTTCCGTTCGACCTAGCACTATCACCCCGCACTTTCAGATGCAGCTCTGGCGCCACTGCGTCCTCAGGGTATTCGCATCAAGAA